CATCTGGATGTCTTCTTTGGAAAAGTGTCTATTCATGTCTTTTGCCCATTTCTTCACTGGATTATTTGTTTTTTGGGTGTTGAGTTTGATAAGTTCTTTGTAGATTTTAGATACTAACCCTTTATCTGATATGCCATTTGCAAATATCTTCTCCCATTCTGTCGGTTGACTTTTAGTTTTGCTGATTGTTTCCTTCGATGTGCATAAGGTTTTTATTTTGATGAGGCCCCAGTAGTTCATTTTTGCTTTTGTTTCCCTTGCCTCCGGAGATGCGAAGAAATTGCTGTGGGCAAGATCAAAGAGGTTTTTGCCTGCTTTGTCCTCGAGCCCACACTGGCTGGCATCGTCTTTGTTTTAGGAGACATTCTTTTCCAAGAAAATCGTTAATCTTCCTTCTAAATTATCTTCTGTATGTTTTGCCCAATAAGCTCACCATATGTTACTAGCCGGAACTTCAGTAGTAGGAAATAATTTAAATACATTAGGTCTCCCATATTATAATTATTACTTTCAAGACTTGTTATGTAGATAAAAATAATATGTACATCATATGGTTCACAGTATGTGTTCAATAAGTGTTATCTATCCTTACTGTCCATCAATACTTAATGAGCACTTGAAGTGATTAGCACCAAAAAAAAAAAAAAAAAAAAATTCGCAAAGTCATAGTTTTAGAGCAGCAGCTAGCTGATTAGCAAATCCTAAATTTAAAAAATGTGTTTACTCATATATCTAGCAGATACACATGGAATACCAAATACCTATTATGGATATACCAGGGAATAAACCAATTAAAGTCACTTCCCTCGGGGCACCTGGGTGGCTCAGTCGGTTAAGCATCTGAAATTGGCTCATGTCATGATCTCACAGTTTGTGAGTTCAAGCCCTGCATCGGGCTCTGTTGCTAACAGCTCAGAGCCTGGAGCCTGCTTTGGATTCTGTGTCTCCCTCTGTCTCTGCCCCTCCCCTGCTCATGCTCTGTCTCTCTCTGCCTCAAAAATAAATAAACACACAAATTTTTTAAAAAGTCACTTCCCTCGTGGAGGGAACATTCTGGAGGAGGAACTAGAATCAGAAATTCATTTTAACTTGTTTGCATTAGCTATGAGCAAAGTTCCTGTCTACAGTAAACCCTTGGTATGTATACATATGCCTTAGCTCATATTGTCAAAATTGTTGCCATCATCTTTACCAGTACAAAGAACAATAGGGGTCAATCATCTTATATCTTAATTCCAGTTCTTTTGGACAAGTAATTTATCTTCTTCATTATGAGCCTCCTCATCTATAAGTTATAAGTATTGGACTGTATTAGCTCTAAATACCTTCCCAACCCTATTAATCTATAATTTTACTATACACTCTTTCCAAATGTTCAAAACTGGGATACATTTTCTCCCTCCTTGATAAATCCAAGAACTGGTGTGTATGGTTTATTTTCCATCTCAAATTTGCAGACATCTACTAACTTTAATAATCACATTGTGAAACTTCTCTCCCTCAAGCCATTTATGATAATATTCACTCTGTGTCAGTCATCTGTGCCTTGTACAACCATGTTTTGTAATTTATCATCTCTTACCATATTCTAATCTCGCTGTTACCAATATCTATTCACCCACAGATCTCACAAAGTAAAACATTTCCCTCTTTATATTCATCAGAAACTTTAAACCAAAGTTCCTTCTAATTCACTCAATTCATTGGTTCATTTCCAGCTACTTGTATTTTCCCTGAAATGTATGGTCAGCCATTCCCATTCCCAGTAAGCAAACCTTACTCCTCTCTACAATTGGGTTCTGTGATACTATCAACAGTATCCTCTGTGATGCTATCAATGAGTCCCTCTCTGCACACACTCAACTACTTCTCTGCTGCCTCCCCTAGGCTGCAGAGCATAGGTGGAGAAAGCATCAACACCAAGCATCTATTCATCCAAAAATGTATGGGTCAAGTAGCAAGTACACTCAATGTTGCTTTAAAAGTGCTTTAGGCACAGGTGCCTGGGTGGCTCAGTCAGTTAAGCATCTGGCTTCAGGTCAGGTCATAATCTCACAGCTCATGGGTGAGCCTCAGCCCTGCTTCAGGTGAGCACAGGCCCCACTTGGGGTGAGCCCCGCTTCCCTCTCTGCCCCTTGTGGGATTCTCTCTCTCTCTCCTTCTCTCTGCCCTTTGCTCACTTGCACCCTCTCTCCCTCTCTCAAAAAATAAAAAAAAAAGTGCTTTAGTCATGTCTTGCTGATTACTTTTCTCCTCATCTGTAAATCCTCTCCTCTTTTTCATTGTTGACAGCTATTTCTCCTAATGTGAATAGCCCAATGATACACTTTCCCTCTTCAATTTGTTTTTCATTGTTGAAACAGACAAAAATGGGTCTTTTTCTCTTTCCATGGTTACTCTCAATTTTAATTTTATTTTATTTCTCTCATTGCTCTTTGTAATAGTCTTCCTTTTACTATTGGCCATATCTCCATATACAGTGCATGTCATTTTCTGATTAGTACCTGGTCTTGACTCAATGACCCTGTTCTCAGTAAGGCTCTCATCCATGTGATATTAATGTCACATAACCAGGTAAGGACATGTGTTCATGAGTATGTGGATTTTGACACTATGACCAAAGTCATTTGAAAACAAAACAGCCCTGCTGTACCCTAGATTCTACTTACTCTTTCAAAGACGAACCAAGTTCTTGAAATAGTCTTACCTTTGTGAACTGCAGAACCTCTCTCCCCAAACTCCTCCCTCATATTATTTTGACATATTGCCTTATCTCTCACTGCAGTTTATCTCATTTTCACATGTATCTTTTAAAGTTGTGCCCCTATCTTTCTGGGGGTAGGGGTGAGGGTGAGGGTGGGGAAGTAGTGCCCAAGGACTAAGAAACAGGCATGAGCAGATTAGCTTTTAGCAAGATCCTCACTCTGCTTGTACCTTGCAGGAGAGCTTCTGGCCCTGCTGCTGTCGGTGTGGTCTCCATACCAGAAGCATTTCATCACCTTGAAGCTTATTTGAAAAGCAACAGGCCCTACACCCAAGACCTACTAGGTCAGGATCTTCATTTTAACAAATTCTCCCAGGTGATTCCTGTGTACGTTAATGTTTGAGATGCCCTGATCTAGCTCCTGTCACTTCTCTGGTGGTCAAAATGGGAAAAAAATCTGTAAGTCTGTCATCTACTTTTCCCCATATTTCTTTTCTCAAACTCTCCTCAACTTATACTCTAATAAATTCATTGGCTTATACAGTTTCATTTCTACAAACCAACTTGGATCGCTTTTTCATTTTTTTTTTCAACCTTTATTTATTTTTGGGACAGAGAGAGACAGAGCATGAACGGGGGAGGGGCAGAGAGAGAGGGAGACACAGAATCGGAAACAGGCTCCAGGCTCTGAGCCATCAGCCCAGAGCCTGACGCGGGGCTCGAACTCCCGGACTGCGAGATCGTGACCTGGTTGAAGTCGGACGCTTAACCGACTGCGCCACCCAGGCGCCCCCGCTTTTCCATTTTTGATACAATAGATGCTTCTGATCAATACGTTCAATCCCTCGGTTACAACCAGCAAATTTTTTTACCACCCACTCGCACAGTGACCGTATACAGATGATTACCACCAATCCATTAGGTATTACCAATGATCTCCCAATTTATAAATCATAGACAGTAAAATCAGATGATTTAGGAACTGGTGGGGTTTGGAGATTATTAATCCAACACCTCTTATGGTGTCTGGCATAAAGCATGGCCTTAATAAATATTTGCCAAATATAAGAAAAAAATACAAAGAGAAAACAGATTTTACATAGAATAAATAATTCTATCCATAGCAGAACAAAGACTAGAATCTAGCCTCTGAAATCCTCCCCAGTTCTCCTTGCTCTGAATCATCTAGTTCCAGTCCTTGTTCTCTTATGTGTCTCTGTAGCACTGAATCTCAACCTTGGCTACAAGGGAACCACCTGAGGAGCTCTCAACATACTGATTTCTGAGTCCCAGACTTATAGATTCTGCTTTGGTCTGGGCTATAGCCTACATGGTGCAGTGTCTCAAGGCTCCACAGGTAATATTAATAAGCAGCCAAGATTGAGAACTACTGCATTATACAGTGTTCAGATTTAATGTGTAAGAAATCATTTTGCAATTTTTTTAAAAGTAGAATCTGATAAAGGTCCTAGGTGAATCTAATGCTACTGGTTTTAGAACCACATTTTACTTTATTTTATTTTTTTAATTTGTTTTAACGTTTATTTATTTTTGAGACAGAGAGAGACAGAGCATGAATGGGGGGAGGGTCAGAGAGAGAGGGAGACACAGAATCCGAAGCAGGCTCCAGGCTCCAAGCTGTCAGCACAGAGCCTGACGCGGGGCTCAAACTGGTGAACCACAAGATCATGACCTGAGCCGAAGTCGGACACTTAACCGACTGAGCCACCCAGGCGCCCCTAGAACCACATTTTAATAAGAAGGTTCTATAGCATTTGGCAAAGTTAGCCCCTAGTCCAAAAGGAAGAGTTTCAGAATGTAAACTATCCAGGTTCTCCTGTAATCTCTCAGGTTTCTTCCCTTTATTTTTCATAGGTTTCTCTTGCTCTACAAATTTCTTAAAGTTGTCCATCACCTAAGTGTAACCTATAGCCTGCCTTTTTTTTCCCAAATAAAAAATGTACATATAATATAGAGTATCATTTGGCCATGAAAAAGAAGAAAATCCTGTCATTTGCAACAACATGGATGAAACTCTAGGGCATTATGCTAAGTAAAATAAGTCAGAGAAAGGCAACTACTATATGATCTCATTTATATGTGGAATCTACAGATAAAAATTAAAAAATAAAATACTGGGGTGCCTGGGTGGCTCAGTCAGTTGAGCGGCAGACTTTGGCTCAGGTCATGAGCTCACAGTTTATGAGCTTAAATCCCACATTGGGCTCACTGCTATCAGCGCACAGCCTGCTTCAGATCCTCTATTCCTCTCTCTCTCTCTCTCTGTCCTTTCCCCACTTGTGCTCTGTCTCTCAAAAATAAATACAAGAAAAAATAATAATTAAAAAATTTTAAAAAAATTAAATGCATAGAAAAGAGATCAAATTTGTGGTTAACAGAAGCAGGGGGTCAGGGTTGGGGAATTGGATAAAGCTGGTCAAAAGATCCAAACTTCAGTCATAATAGTGGAGATGTAACATACAACTTGATGATTATAGTTAACACTGCATATGGTATATTTAAAAGTTGTTAAGAGGGGAGATTCTAAGAGTTCTCAGAACAAGGAAAAAATATTTTTTGTATCTTTGAAATGATGGAAGTCCAGTCACTATAGTAAGCATTTCACAATATCAAGTCATTATGCCGTACACTTTAAGATAATGCAGTGTTACATGTCAATTATGTCTCAATAAAACTAGAAAAAAGGGAAAAATTACATGTCTTCTCTGTGCACCAATTCTGTTAATTCCCACCCCCACCCCAGCCTTATTGATTTTATAGGAAATCAGTATCTCAAACATGTGTTAATTTTAATAATTTTCTAATTTCTCTGACTTCATTCCTTGCCTTAGCAATGACATAATCTAATTCTCCTACAGTAAAATCCTCATCATGTTATTTTAACTTCAGAAATATTTTAATAACCCATGTTGTCTGTGGTGTAAAATAAAATCTTATAAACTTATTAATTGCATAAAATGTAAGCAGACCAGAATTTCATTTAAAATACATTTAAAATATAAAGATTGAGACACTCTTTAAAAACTATATTCTGTTTATAATAGTTATACCTTAAGTAAAAGGACATAGAAAAGTTGAAAATACAGGGATGGAAAAAGACAGCTTTCTCAAAAAAAAAAAAAAAATCACACACACACAAAACAAAAGCAAAAAACCACTGGTGAAGTTTCATTTACATTAGAGAAGTATATTTTATTTTTTTTTAATTTTTTTTCCAACATTTATTTATTTTTGGGACAGAGAGAGACAGAGCATGAACGGGGGAGGGGCAGAGAGAGAGGGAGACACAGAATCGGAAACAGGCTCCAGGCTCTGAGCCATCAGCCCAGAGCCCGACGCGGGGCTCGAACTCACGGACCGCAAGATCGTGACCTGGCTGAAGTCGGACGCTTAACCGACTGCGCCACCCAGGCGCCCCAGAGAAGTATATTTTAAAAGAAAACCCTAGTGGTGCCTGGGTAGCTCATTTGGTTGAGTGTCCGACTTTGGCTCAGGTCATGATCTCATGGTTCATGGGTTCAAGCCCTGCGTTGGGCTCTGTGCTGACAGCTCAGAGTCTGGAGCCTGCTTCCGATTCTGTGTCTCCCTCTCTCTGCCCCTCCCTTGCCTGCACTTTGTTTTTCTCTCTCTCAAAAATAAACAAACATTGAAAAATTTTTAAACAAAACTCTCTAATATAAAGAGGAAAATTTAATGAGTCAATACAAAGGAAATGTTAATTACTAAAATCTCTGCTTTTTATAGCATCAAGATATTTAAAGAAAAATTACAAACTTGAAGAAATAGACAAATCCAAGATTTTAACATGTCTCACAGTAATTATAAGATAATCAAACAATAAATAAGAAGACTTCTGCTTCCAATCAGGAATAGAAATTTCTTGACTTCTTAAAGCAAAAAAATAGTAACAATGTATTTTGAAGTTTATAGAATATGCTGATATAATGATTGTACAAGAGGCACCTGGGTGGCTCATTTGGTTAAGCATCCAACTTCAGCTCAGGTCATCATCTCACGATTCATGAGTTTGAGCCCCACATCGAGCTCTGTGCTGACAGCTCGGAGCCTGGAGCCTGCTTCAGATTCTGTGTCTCCCTCTCTCTCTACCCCTCCCCCGCTCATGCTCTGCCTCTCTCTTTCTCAAAAATAAATAAACATTTACAAAAAAAATAACTGTACAAGTGGTAGGAGATAGTATTGGATAGATAATATAATGAATATTAAACATATAAAGAAGAAATGAAACACGTAAAAAGCAAAACAGTAATTGTAAAGGGAGATTGTTAGAATGTATAATAGGCTAAAGACATAGACAAATTGTAAATAAAATGAATGGAAAAACAATAACCTGGCAACCACTAATCATAAGAGTCCTCTCAGGGTAAAATCATAATCCTAGACTGAAATGTGGTAGAAAAGTAGCCTTTCAGCTTTTGGCTACATATGCCTATAATAGAGCCTCCATAACATGGAGCTGTGTGGTATAAAGGTAATGCAGCTAGTCATGGTTCAAATGCCACAGTGAATAGATAGTTGTTTGTTATATTCCCTTATGGTTACTTTCCATAAATTATTTTTTAAAGTTTATTCATTTATTTATTTTAAGTAATCTCTACACCCAACGTGGGGCATGAATTCACAACCCTGAGATCAAGAGTCACATGCTCTTCTGACTGAGCCAGCCAACCACCCCAATTTCAATAGACTTTAAGTAACAATATTTTATAATTTTCATGTAACTTGTTTTGCTGAGGAGTTCTGCCAAGCTCCCTACTTCATCTTGACGGAAGTTAACAAACCACCATTTATATTATTTTTTTTTAATTTTAAGTAATTTCTACACCCAATATGGGGCTTCAACTCATGACCCCAATATCAAGAGTTAGATGCTCTACCAGCTAAGCCAGACAGGCACACCTTTCTCCATTCATTTTTTAAAAGCATCAATTTCATTTGGACAATTATGGGGAAAAAAAATATTCTTTAAGTCTTCATCTAGTTAAAAACAATAAAAGTGGAATCATAAGAATCTCATATACTTAATTCTTAAAATGCATATCTTGCATTGAAAACATGGAAGTTTAAGCAAATGATAAGATATATAACATTAATGATCAATTTGAATATTATTAATTTGGTTCCTATTTACCAAACGTGGATAAAAACAAATAATTAAGAATGGTTCCTAGTATTTTTGTGGGCGTACCACTTCGCCTGGAGAAAATACACATATTCCCATACCCCAAATTCTGCAATTTCAGAGGCTTTGCTGCCCTTCTGAAGCCCATTCACAAATCCCAGTGACAGGATTCTTATATTCAAGGAACATCCAATGAGTATCATGTAAAAATAAAAGACATGTGGATTGCCAATATGATGAAAGGACTAAAGGTCATAATTTTTTTTTTCAAGTTGGGTCCAGAAGATGTATATACCTAACATGTAAGAAATTTGTTGTTTATTGATTCTGTCTTGTTGTGAAAGAAGCCTCAGCACCCAGGCATTGATGGAATCAAATAATTAAAACATGATCTCTAGTCCTGAGTAGTATGTGATTAAGAGCTAAGTGGAATTTGCAGTCTAGTGCTATTAGGTGTCTGGCTGGAGTGCACAGAGATATCTGTATCAGAAAGAAGCCACTTAAACTGTGATCTGAAGGAAGGACAGAATTTGAATAAGTAGAGATGAGAAGGAAGAGAATCTTAAACACAGGAAACAGATATACCTAAGGGAGAAGTCAAACACACTCCTGACTCTTCAAGGAGGAAGGGAATAAAAATAGTGCATATTTGTAGAGTGATTACTATATACCAAACACATCTCCAAAGCATCTTACATGTATCAACTTCATTGAATCCTAACAACGGTAATGTAAGTATACTTTATCATTCCAATTTCACAAATAAGGAGACTGTGGCATCTAGAGGAAGGGTACTGGCCCTTGCTTACCTATGAGAGCCAGAACTTGAAAATGAATTAAAACTCTGACCTCCAGAAAGAGTGATATAGGGAAGAGAGGAAATAAGTCTCTGTAGACCTTGCAACATGCCTAGATGCTCAATAAATAGATTTGGAATCAAGATTTGACTCTGAGGCATTTTATCTCTCTTGAACATATTGTGAGATATTAGAGCTTCTTTGGGCTTGGAAGTGATACCAGAAGGTGGTACTTTAGAAAGATGTATTTAACAATCTTGTTTGAAGAGAGGTGGATTGTCGAAAGTGGTACTGGAGTGAAAGAAACAAGGATTAATTGCCTCAAGAGAGGCGAGGATGAACAAATACAGATGACAAGCTGAAGCATCTGGTATCTAAGATGTAAGAGCAACAAATAAAAGATGTTAAGAGTGTGGGGAAAATACTTTAAAGAGGGAAATGCTAGTTAGTTGTCTTTCATTTTTGGGCTAAAATAATTGTCAGTTTCCCATTAAGACAATTTTTAGACTTCAGAAAAGAAAGTCCAAATTCTCATTTTAGACAATTATTGTATTAAGAACTTGATTCGTCTTTAAATTATAAAATTTCTTAATAGAAATCTCTTTACATAACTTTGTAGAATATTCTAGACATATTTTAAAGTATTCTCCTATTTGAAAAATGAATTCCCTTGTAGCAAAGGATGATCTTAACAGACTAATAATAAATTAAAAGAAAAATAGATATTAATATTTTTAGTTCATAATTCTCATGTTCCATTTTGCTAACATTTTGTCCTTGAAGAGGCTGTTCAAGGTTTTTACAAAATAATAAAATAGAAGCTTTTAGCACTAAAATAGAACATGTAAGAAATGATAGTGCAATGTAATAGAATTCAACATCATTGAAGGAATACTGACTGAAAGTTAGAAAATAGAAAATTTAGTCCATTTCTCCCACAGTCGTGCTTTCTGACATTATGCAAAGGTAATCTTCCTGGGTTTTATTTTGCTATTGGCTGAAATAAAAACGATACAAATTTCGGGACTATTCCAGTGAGGAATTATGAGTTCGTAACTTAACGAAATATAACCAAATATGAAATTTAAAACAATGAGCTTCAGAGGCCCAAAGATCCACTGTGCCAAAATAATAAATGAAATTAATATTGTTACAGATGGCTTGAAACATAAGTTACAGAAATATAATTTATTTTGAGTTTCTCAAAGGGATACTTCCCTTAATTAACATTTTTATTCAACTTATATGTATATTTGAATAGGTAATACATCTATGCTGTTCATAAATCAAAACATACATAAAATTATACAGTAAAAAGTTTCTTTCTAATCCTTATGTTCATACATCCA